ATCTTTGTACAAAGAAGTCACAATTTAATAGCCCCTTCTGGTCTTGCCACACTATTAAGCTTAGGGACTTAACAATGTAAGCTTTGTGTTTTTGCACTCAGAGCCAATCTGAAATTTCTTTCTCCCTCCCCCACCTGTGTGGTGTGGTGTGGGGTGTGTGTGTGTGTGTGTGTGTGTACTCCCCATATTAGAAACTAGCTTTTGTTACAGGAGTAGTGATATTTCTTAAAGAGCAAGCCAAAAAGTCACAAGGCAAACAATTCTGCAATAGAAAACATAGTGGGTTGTGTGTGTGTTCCCCATATTAGCATTAACCTGCCAGCTGATGGTGCAACCACAGTCCATGAAACTCTGAATGGAAAAGGATTAAACTGCAAGATAATGATATACTAAGAGGTAAATAAAACAAGAGTATAAGTAAACAAGTAAACAAAGAAAGAAGAAAAAGAAGTTTTTTTTTTCCTGGGACCTAGCATATTCTCTGGCTCTTTACAGATGCTTACAGATGAGAGCACCGTGCCTTGCTGCTAGCAGCTGTGGCACTGACTGAGCCCTCCCTGCCTGGCTATCACTGGCTCTCCTGTAGCCACTTACCACCTGCCTCCTAGTTTCCAAGACTTCTTGCACACCTCTCTATACTCACTTGCCATTTTGTATCAAGAAGAATAATTCTGGGTTCTAGGTACTTCTAAAACCCCACATGGCATTTCTGCCATCGGCTTGTGTGACACAAGCCTTTAAACTGTGAGTGATAGCACCACTTTGCAGGTTATACACAGAAGACACTGGAGTGATTGCTCTTAATCCCACAGGAATTTTTGCTGGTGTTAGGGAGATTCACACTTTGGGTAAAACAGTCAACTCTAGCTTTGGTGAAAACCACAATTGTTACAGCATAAATATGGCCCAGGTGGCGCTCAATACAGAAATTTAAAAGTGGAATCTAAAAATGAAATGTAGGGACAGATCACTCCCTCCGAAACCAGAGGGTAGGTAGGGCTTTCAGAGATCATAAAAATACGTGTCACCCAGAACAGTAAGGCTTAGTTGGGCTTTGTCGAGAATGCCTTTATCTCACTCTATCTACATGCCCCGTTTCTTTAAGGATTTGTGGCTGATTTTGACTAGTTTCTAACCAATGTTACAAACACAGCTCCTCTAAAGCCCATGCAGACTGCTAACCAGGTGCCCACATCTAGCCCTAAACCCCAGCTCCCTTGTATTGAAATGGAAGGCCTAAATGGAAGGCCTAGGAACTCAGGAGGCAGCAGGAGAGATAGTAGAATACAGTCAGCAGAGATCCAGTAAGACACAGATGCTCAGAGGCACATTTTTATGCATCATTTCAGTCTATCAATTCATTCAACAAACATTTTTTTTTCTTTTTCGAGACAGGGTTTCTCTGTGTAGCCCTGGCTGTCCTGGAACTCATTCTGTAGACCAAGCTGGCCTTGAACTCAGAAATCTGCCTGCCTCTGCCTCCCAAGTGCTGGGATTAAAGGTGTGTGCCACCACTGCCCATAATTTTTTATTTTATGTGTACTAGTGTTTTGCATACCTGTATGTCTGTGAGGTTGACAGATCCCCTGGAACTGTTGTTACAGACAGGTTTGAGCTGCCATGTGCATTCTGGGAATTGAACCAGGATCCTCTGGAAGAGCAGCTTTAAACCATTGAGCCACCCCTATAGTCTTGCAACATTTATTAACACCTAACATGTGCCAGAACTTTGCTAGGTACTTGCAATGGGGGGTGGAGAATAATCATAACCCCACTACATTACATTCCCACAAAGTATGATGTATACTCTGTTCTTGTAGCAAGGAGACATTTAAAACAGAATGGGACAGACATGCACAAATAAATCTCTAAAGACAGAAATCTCATGTCTGGGAGATGTTCTCTGCTATTTCCACCTTGCATCTCCTTCTGGACAGAACTGGAAACATGTCAATAGAGATGCCTGGAACTTAAGTCACATAGACAGAGCTGGTCTTACTTTGAGTTGGTACTAGGTATAGTACATCACTTACAGAAAGGCCCAAGTGCTCGCCTTAGCTGACAGTCTCCCCAGCTACAGATCATATCCTGGAGGAGGGACCTGGCTCTGTGTCCCACTCCATTCTTAGCATGACTAGGTCCCTGAAGGATGGTCACTTTGCTGAATAAATGACTGACTCCTGTGGAAAGAATAGCTCTCCACTAAGGTGTCCTGTTTATATACTTAGGCTACAAATGTCCAAAAGGGTGGAAAGTGATTGTTACATTTTAGTGATTCAGAATTCAATGGTGAATCTAAAATTATCACTTGTGTATTTTATTCCTATTTTATGCATTCTTAAAATCCAAATGGGGCCAGGCATAGTGGTATAGTCCTTTAGTCCCAGCATTTGGGAGGTCGAGGAAGGTGGATCTCTGTTAGAAGCCAGCCTGGTCTACATAGTGAGTCACAGGTAGTAGACTGTCTCAGAATAAAAAAAAAAAAATTCCAAATGCAAGTTTTAGATTTATCTCTACTCTTCCCCCAACCAAAAAAAAAAAAAAAAAAAAAGCCTAAATATTTTACTTTAAAAATACAAATCTATTATGTTTCTTATCACCAATCCCTTAATAATACTTAAAAATTCTGAAAAAACTTTTTTTCCCCAAGTCTGTGACAGAAATGGACTTACATTGTGTACAGCATAGCTTATGACAGTCACACTCTTGGTTCTTAACTGCTGTAAAGTCTAATAACAAGGTGCTGCCCCAACCCCATTAACATCAATCTACAGCATGAATTCTGTATTACAAATCTGTAAAGATTCTGTATTACAAGATTCCAAAGGACTTTAAATATAGTATGAATACCACGAATACAAGAAACTGACATCATGCTGTACGCTACTGCCACCTTCTGACTGCAACTTAGAACTACAAAATTGTGCGTTAGAGGCAAAAGGATCGGGAATTGATGAGATGTTGTCTAAACAAGTAACAAAAACAAACTAATATGTGATCAAAGTGTGAATGTTTTATATTGTATAGAGCTAAGAACACACTATGACTTAGTGAGCGGAGTTTATTCCAAAAGCAATTGCCATGGAAACCCCTTTACCACTGTAGAACTAATAACCTGCAACATGTTGAACATTATGTGTTCCACTTACTGTACAGAACTTAGAAACTGGGTTTCTTTTGATTCACTGTAGCCAAGGTCATTGTATACATGACTAATACATGGTGAACATTTACAGGTCTGTGGCTGGTAGCTACTTCTTACTCATATACTGGATTGGGCTGAAAGCTGTAGACCAGGGCTGATACCATCACTGTCCAGAACTACTCTGACCATTTCCAGTGGAGCATCTGCAGTCACAGGACAATATATAACATTCACAGGTAGTGATGGTCTCTCTTAAACCTAGAACACAGCAGTAGCCTTTGGGAATACTAGTGTGTTCACAGCTTTCTGAAGGTGGGATCCCTAGCTGTTTGTAGGTGTATCTTGTTTAGAAGTACTTTGACACACTTTTTCTCTATCTACCCTAGAGAGCAGCAGTTCTGTGGCACGCGCGTGCACACACACACACACACACAAAGTGTGTAAAAAGCCAGGCATGGTGGCACACAGCTTTGATCCTACCAATCTGAAGGCAGAGGCAGGCCAGCGGCCTGGTCCATAGAGCAAGTTCCAGGACAGCCAGTGCTACTCAAAAAACCCTGTCTGGATAAACCAAGTGTATAGTAACAGTTTTGTGTTAATAGTGGTGTACAGTTTTGAGCTGAACTTTAAAACTGTACTAAAGCTGGTTCAGATCTTCCCCATCTCCAAGAAAACATGCTAAGTGAATCATTAAGGACTGACTGTCAGTCTGTAAGGTGCACTATAACCAAGCAGTACTGGCCTTTAGAAACCTCGAGCCCTGCCATCCATTCTTCCTGTCACTGTGCTGCAACAGAGAAAGAAATGGTCAGTTTGAAACTCAGCTGTGATCACTGCCTGTGGCTCTCCAGTCCCACATAAGCTGAGATGTTTGGCAGCACATGATTATTTGGACTCTGTAACAATTCCAAGAACACCCAAAGCCTAAGTGTTGTCCTAATGGCCCTTCAACAGTTTTGGATTTTTAAGACCACTGCAGACCTCAGATTTTCAAACTAGGAATGCTTAGTTTGTCACTACTGTCTACAAGTTAAATCTTACCTTGTATTTTGGTCTAAATTCATGAGCTTGTAATTCAGTAATCAGGATATTCCCTGCCTTTTATTATAGGAACATTTTCCTATCCAATTCATCTCATCGTGTGGTAAGCACAGCGGATTATTGATTATCCTTCCAAATATCCATCTTCCAAATGAATACATAGAGTAGCTGTTTCTACTCCAGTCCCTTAATATTCTGGAACTGGTGTAATCTCAAAGACAGCAGAATTAGCAAATATATATAATGTTTGTCCTCTAAACATATATAATGGCTTGTCAGGTGTAAAACTGGTAATTCTGTAATTAAGTTAATGAAATTTATTCTTTAAGATGCTTTTACACAGACACAGGTTATGACTTTTTTCTTTTTTGAAGAGAAACTAACTTACAGTTAATGGTAGCTTAAAACAAAAGTAGAGCCATGTGATGATACTCCTTGAAAGCAGCTGGCCAGATAAAAACATTAATGTTTAGTAATTTAAGGCTGTATTTAGAGTAGTTAAGACATTTAGGATTGCAGACTAAGTGGTACATATGATAGAGAAATGCAAACTCAAACTTGCTATTTTCTGTCCTCTCCATCACTACTGTTCTCTATGCTCCATATAACGAGTTACCCCAGTTTGCAAATAACAACTGGCCAAGACGAAAGGAAGCCAGAAAAAGCAGTGTAAATTAGAAAGCACAGAACCATATGCACCATTCTCCTATTTCAGTATGGACACTCCAATAACCATTCCACTTCATGAAAGAAAAACATGAGTTGCGATTTGAGTAAAAAGTACTTTTATGGGGAAAAAAAAAGGCTGAGCGTCTTGCCTAGAAAAATCCTTTAATATCTCATGTTACCTAATACAGTAAAAGCCTTTTGAAATGCGTTGAGGATTCAGTTTGCATGGGAAATCCACCTGCCTCAGAATAGCTCATTATCTTTTTCATTGAACGATTTTAAGTGGCAAAATCGTTCAGAACAGAAAAATATAGTATCTTCAATAGACATCTCAAGACAATAAAGTTATATTTACAGGATGCTGTCTATAATCAGAAGTCACCGAGAAGTAAAAAATAAACTATCATTTCAATGTCCTTTCTCTCAGCAGTCAGTTATGGCCACACACTAAGGACAGCCAAGAATCAAGGAAATGTGTTCCAGGTGAAATAAATTTCCCAGAACAACTCTCATAAAATAGTTTGTTTTTCTTTCCCCCTGAGAATCAAGTAGATCAATCATTGGATTGCATGAAACAAAGACAAGCTCTAAATCCTCTATCATGTACGATCAAAATTCTGTAGGCATTTCTGCTTAGAAAAGCTAAAATGTACAAACAATAAAAACTAAATAGCAAGACACGGTGCTTAGTAGTACCACGGCAGAAATTTATGGTATTCGGTAAAATATACAAGTGACATTTGTGGGTAAGTTTATTGCTTTTTTGATGGGCTGTAGCACCACTCTGAAGTATAGAAGATGGTTAGGATTAACCAGCCTATGATTACAATATGCATTTCTAGTAAAAGTGCTTCAGAAGGAGCGCTGAAAGGCCAAGGAACATCTGCATTCTGTTGTGTTTCCAGCTTCATTTAACAGGCGAGGGGGCAGGTCTAGCTTAGTGAAGTAAGAAGTTGCTGCTATCAATCTGATGATTCAAATATAAAACCAAGGGACTAAAGTTATTCAAACTTATAAAAATTTAGAACACTATAAATTTTCATGCCAAAAACATTTCAGATAGTTATTGCTTAAGCGAGCAGTGGCTATTCCTGTGAAATTTTCAAAATCATGATTGAGAAAATTTCTTTACTGTGCTAAAATTTATGCTAAAGGAGAGATAAATTGATAGGGGCTATATAGATATTGCCTAGTCACTACGGAAAACAGGCCAATTTCCCTCAGAACTATTTTGAAAACTAGTATCACCATGGTGATTTCAGGATTCAGAAAAAGGAAAGTAACATCACACATGCTATACAAAGTCAGCTAAATAATTGATAATTTTTGAATACCACTTTACTCAGTCTTTAGAAAGTATAATTTGAAGTAGATTTCCTTAATCTAAAAGTTATGAACAGATAAACTGCTATGCAGAAGCACAAAGGTATTTTAAATGTAATCTTCTATAAGAAGTAATTAAATTTTCAAAGCCAAACAACCTAGTACCAAGCACAATTTCCTCTGAAACTGACTTCTTCCACCAGCTTTTCTTTCTTCAATCACCTGGATTAATCAGCATTCTCCACTGGTAATATCCGTAGGACAATGTGACACTATCTCCCTTCAAGTAGCCTGACTTCCTAAAATGACTATTTCAGGAGTGGCATTTCTAAAAATAATTCCGCCCCACATATGCATCAGTCACTTCTGGAAGCAGGCACAAGAATTCTAATAAGAGCAGTAAAACTTGAGAGTGCTTCCCAAGTTGTAATGCAACATGAGCTGTACCCTTAAAAGGGGGAGGGTCTCAATACTGATGGTTGGCATGGGAAAAGAAAAACAAGAGTATTCTACTGTCACCAGACATTTTACAAAGAAAAATGTCCTAATCTTGTTTTCAAGTTATAGTCACTCTCTCACTCTCTCTCTACTTACACATATATACATACTTTTTCCCTTAAATTGATGGGGTGATGCAGAAAGTCACAAGTGAGAAAAGGACACTAAGTTTTAATAAGGGGAACATAAAGTTGTTTTCACCAGCATAAGTTCACATTACAGAACACCAGTATCAACAGCATTCTCTTGTCTATTTTTGGTACAGAAGATGGTATCTCTCTACATAACCTGGTAAGGCTTCAGTAACTAAAACATAAAACAAACAAATAAAAACCCAAACAAAACAAAAAAACCCAGCCTATTAGTTTACAGTTTATTTTAAAAATTCTGAAAGACACTGCAAGTTCTAAACTTGAGTAGTGCTACCCATACACAACCATCTGGTCAAGAACGCAGTAAAAGCACACCCTTTGAAGGGAGCTTTGCAACAGTAGAGCAGTGCAACAAGAAAAACTTATACATGGCACATTCTCTTCATATTTGTAATGTAAAAAGTTACAAACATACCTAATCAAATAAATAATAATAAAAAAGAATTTGATGTATTTGTTAAGTATTCTAAAACCACTACATAGAATAATGGCAACTTTCACTCACAGATTATTTACATGGTAATACCCAGTGTGGGTACATTGCTACAAAACTCAGAACAGAAGGAGTAAACTTGAAATGTTTTCCTGTAAAGATCTAGCAGCATGACTATCTAATGCTGTGTTATCCCATTGCTTCTGAAATGGTCCTTTTTAGTCTGTGTCTTCATCCAGTTCATAATTGTCTTTATCATAAATATCTTTTACTAGAAGAACCCGTACAAGCATATTTTCCAAGGTGTTCCGGTCCAGGGAAGTAGATGTGTACCAGACAGGGCTATCTGTAGAACTAGAACACTCTGGTTGCAAATAAAAAACATCCATTCTCTGATTAAGATTCTGTGGACTTTGAAGGAAAAAGAAAAAAAGAAAAACAAAAAAAGGTCAATTTCACAAAAAACAAAATTCCCTGCAAATTTACTTCAAGAATAACTCAGCCCCAAACAATAGATGTACTCAGAGCCTCTGTTTCATTAACTGCAATAACAATAGTATCAGTAAACTGGTCTCAAAGTTTTTGTGATAAAGGATTAGTTCCCAAATATAATTGAAATTCTTATTTCATAAATCCAAGACTCCATCAATATACATACTATTATTTTTTTGTACTTGTGCGAATTACAATCTCAATCACATTAAGCGTGCATGTCCATTTCTGGAAAAAGGAAATGTGAAAAAAAGTGACCTAAAATGATAAAAATATATAACACATAAAGAGTCTTACTGCACTACAGAATAGAAAAAACATTAAATTCCAAAAAAGGAATTCCCACCTGCCAAATTGTTACCAGCACCGGAAATCCCCAAAACTAAACTGATGGTCCAGAATAGAGCTTTTAAAAAAAAAAAAAAAAAAACTACCCTTATGCCAGTTAGAGGTCATGTTAGAGGTAACATTCATGTTTTGACTAGTTCATGAGAACCACCCAGGAAATCACACTACGATTTGGAAAGTTGTTTACAATGTACAATGCAACTCCGTACTTTCTCTTTCTGAAAAGTCAGAGTGCTTATTTAAAACAACACTCAAAATGAGACAGTTCCTGGCCCCTCAGCTCTTCAGTAGTTCCCAGTGTGTGCTGCTTTAGAGAGGGGAAGATGGCAGTCATGCAACTGAAAAGTTAAGGGCCTTCCAAAAACTGTCTCCAAAGATTTTCCATTCACATCTAAGTATTTTATTTTCATCTCCACTACTTTGACCTTCTAAACATACCTACCTTCGCACTAGAAGCTGGCAGACAATGACTCGCAAACTGTATAACGTCATATAGTATGTGGCCTCCTTCTAGTTTAGTAGGACAACTAAACAGATGAAACAAAGACTAAACACCCCAAAAGCATACAATGATTACTTCTCGACAAAAGTTTGTGTCTCTGCTTGGCAATCAACAGACCTGCTTTAATTTTGTAAGGTAAGGAGGACAGGAGTGATATTTTTTAGTAAAAAGTGATTTCTTAATATGGACTAGAATCCTAAAGTACATGTACTAGGTATTTCATAAGGGGACTCTAAAGTTAGAGCTAAATATAACATTGGAACAAAAAACTCCACTAAAGCAAGGAGAGAAAAATCTTAAAAATTAATTAAATGCCTTCATTTCTTAATAGTGTTAAAGTCAACCAATTTATACAAACATCTTTTAAAAGGACCAGGCGAAGGATGTAGCTCAGTAGGAGAGCACTAATATCTAGTAGGCAGGCGACCCCAAGTTAAATTCCCCAGTACTGTAAAATTTTAGTCAAATATCATTAATGTTCATTCACCTTTTAGATAAGTAGCATTCAAACATTTTCACAGGACATCTAGAAGGGTTGGCTGTGTTTTCAACTTGTTCAAATACTGGCTCATCATCTTCATGTTTTCGTTTTCCAGTAGCAATTTTATCTTTAACAACAACAACAAAAGTAAGGCTCCTAACACCAATCTTTTTCCTTTCTTGTGAGTATGTGTGTATGTATGACACGTGTGTGAATGTGGGTGTACAAATGCCACAGCACGTGTGCATGTCAGTTCTTGTCATCCACCTATCCAAGGCAGGGCTCTTTCTGTTTGTGCTACTGCACTGCACTGTATGCTCCAGGATAGCTGGCCTAGGAGCTTCTTGGTGATTCTGTCTCTCCTCTCCCCACTCTACTGCATCTGACATTTTATGTGGGCTACGAGAATTCCAATTCAGGCGGTCAAGACTTGCACAGCAAATGGTTTTACCCAATGACTTATCCCACAGCCCCTAAAATTAATTCTGAGGGAGGACATTACTATTTACCCTCAGTACCTGTTTTAGCAACATAGGACTAGGTGCCCGCCCTTCAGGATTTTCTGTGTGGCAGCTTTTAGTAATGTACAATTTTTCCAAGAAAAGGATCCGAGATGCTCAGCTTAAAAACAGTGGTTTTTAAGTGGTTCATGCCTGTAGTCTCAGAATAGGGAGGATCACAGATCCAAGGTCATTCTTTGCTATATGGCTTAAGACCAGTTTGGACTAGAAATCTTATCTCAAAACAAACTACAACAATAAGATGTAAGACAGTTGAACTCTAGGAGTTTGAGGCAACCCTGGTCTACAGAAAGTTCCAGACTAGCTAACACAATATAGTGAAACCCTATCTCAAAAAGAAACAAACAAACAAAACCAAAACAACACCAACAAACCAAAACAACAAGACCTGGAATACACAGGTTGTTGTGTTTTATGAAAGTAATTGTCTTTAGTCTCTTTATGAATGGCAGAGGTGGACTTTAGTAAGGCAAGTTTGAATATTCCCACCACAGACAATCTCCAAATAAAAATGCTATACTATCAGGGCCAACGATGGCTTAGAGGTTAAGAGCACTTACTGCTCTTGTAGAAAACCTGGGTTCAGTTTCCTGCACCTACATGGTGACTTGCAATCATTCATACCCCAGTTCCAGGGGACCCTCTTATGACACCAGCAAGCACTGAAATGTGTGATGCACACAAACATTCATGCTGGAAAACCACATTCATGCACATAAAATAGAGATAAACCTTGTCTTTAAAAAGTTACACTACCTTCATTGTCTGTTCCACATAAGGAAGACACCTGATAGCGAAGACATGCTTTATTTTCCATTGTTAAAGGATTTTTTTTCCAATGCCTAAACACAGTGCCAAAGGAAAGTCTTAAGTGTTGTTCCACTGTTTTCAGGCCAAAATATTTAGTGTTAAAGTAGAACAGGGTGTTCAAAAGTGCTACTGGAGAGTGGGATCCTAGTTGTTTTATCCTCCAGAGATAGTCTTCTTCAACTCGAGAGAATATTGACCCTTAAATAGAAAAAACTACTTTAAAAGAATTATAAATACCACAAACAGTTTTAATTTGACTATCCAGAAATAAAGTGAGTTTAAAACAGCCCTATGTCAATCTACTACTCACATTAGATCAATGTGGATGAACCCATAATTACATATTAGCTCTTTTAACAATACATAAGTTGGGAAACTGAGTATGAAACCACCATCTCCAGAATAAGGTACAAGATGCTTATTTCTGTCCTTCAGTAAGACAAGGACATTATGATCTGAAAATAATTTAAAATCTGTATAATTCTTAAAAACAACACATGATTCTGATAAACAAATATATTTTATTCACATAAGAATCTACATTGTAGGTCTTAAGACAATATCTAGCATTGTACTACAAAGAAAGTAGGTCACAGGTTTTACTGTGTTCTTCACAAACATTAGTTACTATTTATCTGCATATGAGCGAGTGCACATTCACAAGCTCTTACATTGTAACTTAAATTACTTCCTAAATACACTTAACATAGTTTCTGTAAAAATAACAATTCCATTATCAACTATCAACACATATTTAAAATAGCATTACCATCTGGAAGTATGCTTGGTTGCCAACTTCGGAGTATTTTATTCAGTTCTTGCTCAAACATCTGGTATCCTGGATCAATAAATATGTTGTCCTTTCGATTACTACCACATAAGTACTACAAAAAAATTATTGAAGGAAAACCAGCTAATTATAAATAGTGAATGTATCACACTTTGCATTTAAGAAAAAAAAAGCTTTATGTTTAGAAAAAGCAAGCATTTTAATAAAACATAAGAGATTACTGCCCTTGGGTATGTATGTACAAGTCAAAAAAGCATAATTTCCCAATTAACCTGTTACTTAAAACATGCAAAGCTGGAAAGTATAACACAGAATCCTGAATGTAAAAACTGGGTAAGAATCATCAGTGTGGAACCAGTGAGATGGCTCAGCAGGTAAAGCATTTGCCATGCAAAAGCCTGACAGGCCAAGTTAGGTTTTCAGAACCCACTCTACAAGATTATCCTCTGACTGCCATCTGTGCAGTGTGGCACACAAGGACCTTCGTCATACACACACATCACACACTCTCTCCCTCTCGTTAGTCTGTCAGACAATATATAGAATGATATTTTTATATAATACACAGAGAAAAGATATACATTTTAAAGAATAATCAATGATTAAAGGAAAACAATGAAGAGCTGTCTGCCTATGGTCTCCCCTTCCTCTGCCAAAAAACTGTGTGCATGCCTATACACGGTGTGCTTTTGAATATACTGAGGACCTAATCAGGGATGCAAGCACAAGGGAGAGCACATATCTAAAATACTCAAGGGCTGAGCTTTTATTTCTAGTACAGCAGAAACCAAAACAGAAACAATCTTTATACCTGAAAACTAAACAATTTATAAAAGAATTCAGGCCCTTTCTGGTATGACGTCACACCTGATATTCCATCCATGTTAACATGGTCCCTGGGAAACCATGCCCTGACTCTGTCTTCTAAGGATGCCTTTCAATTCACATTCCTTCTATGTGGGAAATTTCTACCTGTGTTTCAAAAAATTCATTTAAAAAGTCTTCCAAATATACATATACTCTGTGTGTGTGTGTGTGTGTGTGTGTGTGTGTGTGTGTGTGTGTGTGTGTGT